TTTTCCTTTATGTTATTCAATTGTATGTGTCTAAAACATTATATATATAACTTACTATTTTGCTGAAGAGGAGAAGCATATATTTTGAAATATTTAAACAAGGTAAGACAAAACAAACCATCTAAATAAAAAGTGTGCCTTTACCTACAACCTTGGACTTCTCCAATTAGAATTGTGGTTCTTGGGCTATGGGTTTTGGAGGTTCTGTCAGGGGACCAATTCATAGTCCCACTTAACTAGAAGTTATGATTGACTCCACATGTGATCTGGTTACCACACATTCCTCATTACAATGGTCCAGCAAAGACAGTAAGAGATACTATTCTTACCATCATAAGGAAAGAAGGCTGCTGTTTCACAACCTGAGAAAAAAAATGTCTGGAACTCAGAGGTGCCCCATGCTCAGATATGAGTGGGCAATTGCAGCAACTGGGATTCCATATGAGCAAGACAACTAAGGGCCTAATCCCTTTTGATTAAAGTCTGAGAGACCTCACAAGGCAGCAACCCAGACCAGCTGAAATGCCAGTGACATATGAAGAAAATCTGGAATGAATGGTAGAGGAGATTGGTGATTAATATTATTAATTAGGCCCCAAGGATCAGCTGGAGTATTAGATATTGTAGCTTGGTTCTTTGCCTCTCCTTAAATCTTGGGAATAGCAACTAGTATGACCTTGAAGAATTGTACTTGAACTTCTCTTTCGGGAGGTATGAGGAATGTTGTGTTATATGCTTTCTGGGTATCAGAAAATGATGCAAGTGCATTGGAGTTGTGCAAGGTGATGCCCATCCTGGGCCCAGTTTATGTGCTTTCCTATAGTGGCTCAACCCTAATATGTCTTCACTTTTTGACCACTCATTCAGTGGAGATCCCCATATATTGTTACTGTTGTCACTTAATTTCCTAACTCCATCAGCTGTATCAGCCTCCCTGAAGATTACGACCAGACATTAGCATGCCTCCCATGGCATCTACATGGAAAGATCCAGAGTGGCTCTGGCACCTGTGTCATATTAGACCAGAACCAGGAAAGTTCTGTCTCCACCGGGATATTGCTTCCCCAGTGGCTACCCAAAGGAGATAGATTACACAACTGACATGCAAAGGAGTTAATATTCCACAGGCTGAATCTTTACCAGTGAAATATAGAAGGTAAGGAAGTGGCATATAAATGTCTCTTCCCCCATCTAACAAGCTGTTCCAAGGTGCGAAGGTGCCATATGACTTCTCTAGAGTTGTTACACATGACCTAGCAACCGGTCTTGTTTTCTTGTGAAGTTCTGCCCAGCTCAGGACATACCACCTTATGTCTGCTGCTGCTTTTTTCCTACAACACTTTTCTTCTTACCTCCCTCATGCTCCCCTGGGGTTGGATCTCACTATTAAACTCCAAAGTTTCTGTTCACCAAGTAGAAAATTAAAATATAATATAAACTCTATCCTTCCTGATTGAAAAATTTTCTGATTTTGGTACACCTAATTATCTTCTATTTTTATGTATATTAATGTATTAATCTAATGAATTTCTTTATTTTTTTAAACTTATAGCTACTTTCTTTCTCTGCCTCACTTTATTTTACAACTTGTTCATTACTCCACTCTGTTTATGATACTGTTATTCTGTAGTTCCCTTATTTTTGACTGTTTTTAATGCAAAGGTACCTTATGTTGGTTATATGTCTTTTTCAGAATGTGTGCCATTGCAATGCCATTTCTTAGAACAAAAAAGTTGTGAATGCCAGATTTCTCTATGTATTCCTGTGTATAAATTTTGACATAGTGGAAGAGTGTAGTAAAAGTTAAACAAATCTTTATGGACTAATCCCAGCATATTTTAAGTCATTCCCCACAGATCACTAAACTTTTCTGGCTATACTTCCAGACTTCTCTTAGGCAAGGAGATGTATGCCATGTCAGGATCCCACACCTTAGTAAGAGTCTTTGCTATCTCCCTCTCTTTACTCTCTAATCACCTCCTTTTAATTACTATTTCTGATAATTATTCAGAGGCAACATAAATTTTAAACCTACTAGTATTAAACATCTATTATTATTAAGCAGACATACCTAACTAATATTTCTATCATAAGCGTATATTGGAACTACAGCCTAAAAGCTTACAAATTAAATTGATATATTATACTAGCTATCATCCTTTGATTTGACCTAATTGCCCAAGTTTTTCTAAACTTGGATATCTCCAGTTTGGGGGATTATTTGTTTGCTTTGGTGGTTGTTGTTGCTTGTCTTGAATTTAAATAGCCTGGTATTTGCGTGTACACAGAGAACTTGACTCCCCAATTCTTCAACCTTCCCTCCTACCCCATCTTTGGTCATGAACTTTCTTTACTCTCACTGTCTATTGATTAATTACTTCTTCTCCCACAAATGTGTGATGACAGCTAATCTGTGGGACAGTTGAGAATGAGATGATTGTTCAAAAAGTTATAAAGACCTCAAATGAAAGATATAGCAAAACTACATTGCATCCCATTGAAACAAAACAAAGGCAGCTACAAACATTTGGAACCAAGTCACATTTTTGCACACCATCCATTACTCTTGCATTTAACAGGATGTTAAAGATTCTACATCTTCTGAATTTATTAGCTTGGTATTTAGCATGTTGCACAGCCAAAATAGCAAAGAAGGTTCATTATTGCTGGTTAAATTAGCCTCATGAAAATGTTGTTGGTAAAAGGTTACAGAAATGAATAAGAGATTTAACCAAGCAGCATATTAAAACCATTTATCATTATAATTTGAAAAGGCATTCTGATTATTTGAATTAACTTGGATAAAGGGTAGAGAATTAGATAAAAGTTAATAATTAAAACCTAAATGGCATGATTAGCTTTTTCTTTTGATAAAGAAGGGGCAAAACATATGCAACATTTACTTAAATTGCCCTCATGGGAGAAACTGAGACCAATAAAATCATACCTGATCATACTATTTATTGGCTTTAAAAAATTATATCTCTATTATATATAAACTAGGGGCCCGGTGCACAAAAATTTGTGCACTGGGGAGGGGGTTCCCTCAGCCCAGCTTGCCCCCTATCACATACTGGGAGCCCTAGGGGATGTCCTACTACCTGCTCCCTGCTCCCCTTGGGGAGCGGGACTAAGCCACAGTCTGGCCTCCCTTTGTGGGAGTCGACCAGGCTGATCAGGGGAAGGCACCAGCCCCATCACCGCACTGTTGCAGCCACTGCCAGTCACCACAGCCACCAAGGTGTTTTCATCAACACGGACTCCAGTCCCTTTACCATGAAAAAATAACAACTTTCTTTAGGCATTTTCAAGAAGTGTCTTTCATAGGATATGACATTTCTTTCTTTCTTTATCCTCACCTGGGGATATGTTTCCATTGATTTTTAGAGAATGTGGAAGAGAAAGGGAAAGACAGAGAGAAACATCAAAGTGAGAGGAACACTTTGATTGGTTGCCTCCTGCATGAGCCCTGACCTGGGCCAGAGCCAGGAGGAACCTGCAACCTAGGTACATGCCCTTGGTCAGAATTGAACCCAGAATCTGCGTTGGGCAGGCCGAGGCATTATCCACTGAGCCAAACTGGCTAGGACAGGATATGACATTTCTTAACCCTCCAGCAGCAGACCTTCCTTTTTTTCTCCAGGAGTGTGGTAAAAAAAACCCTAGATCACTTTTTGGACTCTTATTACCCAAGTTACTAAGAATATTACCAGTGGCATACAGGGAGCTTAACCAATCAGCAGTCAGAAAAGGTGTTTCCTCTGTAGTTCACACCAATTGCTGGTTTGGCCCCTGCCCAGGCCTAACGCCTCTGGCGAGTCATTAGCCCTGGGCCAGGGCACCCCCAGCTCCCAGCCGCCGTGGCCATCAAGGATCGCTGGCTGGCTGCGCCCCGGTTCCGGCCGCCACCACCATCAAGGATCACTGGCTGGCTCCTCCCCGGCCCAAGCCTAAAGCCTCTGGCCGAGGCATTAGGCTTGGACCGGGGCACCCCCCGCTCCCCGCCACCGCAGCCATCAACGATCCCTAGCTGGCTCCTCCCTGACCCAGGCCTAAAGCCTCAGGCCGAGATTTTAGGCCTGGGCCGGGGCACCCCCAGCTCCCCGCTGCCACCGCCGCCATCTACGATCGCTGGCTGGCTCCACCCTGGTTCCCCGCCTCCGCTGCCATCAACCATCGCTGGCTCAACTATCGCTGGCTGGCTCCTCCCTTACCCAGGCCTAAAGCCTCAGTCTGTGGCTTGGAGCCGACATATGCAAATTAGCCGCCATCTTGGCTGGCGATTAATTTGCATATCTCGCTGATTAGCCAATGGGAAGGGTAGCGGTCGTACGGCTAATTACCATGTTTCTCTTTTATTAGATAGGAAGGAGGATTAGATTACCTGAATAGCTTATGTTTCCTTCGAACATAGTGTGATTATCCTTCTCACTTTATTTCATTTTGGATGGTCAAAGCCTAGAATTTAGCATTTTTCTGTTGAGGTTTTTTTAACTGAATGGCCTCTATGTATATTAGATAGTCTTTGCCATCTTTGTGAAAATTTTTTAAAAATATATATTTTTATTCATTTCAGAGAGGAAGGGAGAGGGAGTTAGAAACATCAATGATAAAAGAGAATCATTGATCGGCTGCCTCTTGCAACCCCCCTCACCCCCCTAGCACTGGGGATTGAGCCCACAACTGGAGCATGTGTCCTGGCAGGGAATTGAACCATGATTTTCTGGTTCATAGGTCGACACTCAACTGGCCAGGCTTTGTGAAATTTTTATCAGTAAATTAACCTGCACTTTTTTCTCTTTGATATGTTTAATGTTTGTGTGACCTAAATTATTCATATCTTTCTTTGTATTAAAATGATTATTTCCCCCCTAAAAAGCACATAGAGCTTTCTCAAAATGAGTGGTGAATCAATTTTTTATGGGTTTAACAACCCTAATTAAGCAGTTTGTGTCTATGGACTTACATAAAAATGTTGTCCCATTTCCCATTCTTAACAGGAACCAGGAGCTAAAAGAACTTGGTGAACTCTCTCCTCACTGGGACAATCTACGGAAAAATGTCCTTACTCACTGTGATCAAATGGTGAATATGTACCAAGACATTCTGACAGAACTCAGCAAGGAAACAGGTGTGAAAGTAATAACTACATATTCAACCTGTGCTGCATTTCATATGTTATGTGAAAACAATAATAAACATTATTATGGACATAGAACAGCCAATATTTTTTAAAGCATCTTATAATTCTAATACTTCCAAATTGACGTGAAAAATAACAAAGAAAAAAATGCACTATTTTACCTCACGGTATTATTCTAAAGGTAATTGAGAGTTTAAAAAAATTTAAATATCTGAGAAGAAAAGCAAATCATACAGTTATATTTTCTTCCTGAAGTTTTTGTAACAGTTCTTTATGTCAAATTTATTTTTCAGCAAATATACACGCACATGTCCTCATTATTTACTTACTAGTAATATTAAATTTCTTTTCACCTAGGGTCCTCTTTCAAATCAAGCAGCAGCAAAGGAGAGAAAACATTAGAATTTGTTCCAATAAATCTACACCTGCAGAGGATGCACGTACACAGCCCTCACCTGAAAGGTAGTGTATAGTATTCTTTTCAAAATAGGCAACTGTGTTAGGGTGTTTCTTTAAAAATCTCCACTATTGGCAGACTTTACAATTTAAGCATTTATATAAAGATAAAGATGAAACAGTTGAAGCTGATAATAACCCTGAATATTATAAAAGGCACTATTATTTTTTGTTGTTGCTATGTTTCTGAGGACTACTTTATCAATGTAGCACCTGAACTGAGTTGCAGGTGAATATGCAAAATGAATATTAGCTTCTTTAAGTAGTGTCAATGACTCCTAATAGCTGCCAATTGTGCTACTGCTTGGATTAAAAAAAAAAAGAAAAGAAAAAGGCAAAACAAGACTTGTTCATTGTATACTATTTATCTTGAGAAACCAAAGCCCAAAGTTGGACTCAAGCTGTTTCTCTGTCTTGGCGGTGACTGTCCTTTTAACCAAGAATTTGGCAAATGAAAGAACTGAAATAAAAATTAGATGGATTGGCCCAAGGCTTTTAGGAACTTTTGATTACTGAGTGTCTGTCAGCAGTTTGAACATAACATATAATGGTTTTAAAAATCATCAAAACCAGAATATCAACAAGTAATAAAGAAGCTAAAGTACTTAAATGCTATGTGATAACCAACATGATTTTTTTTTCTAAAGAGGCCTTTATGATATAGTAAAAAGTTTATATATTTTGTAGTGGAATGGAATAGAATTGCAGCTTCACTAGTTTCTATTAAATTTGTTATTTCTAATCTTTCTAATCTGTGTTTTTCTCTTCCAAATGAAGTGAATTAGAGTATGTAAAACACCCAGAATGAACGATAAGAGTTTTCCATGAGATATGTGGCCTTTGCCATCACTGGGACAAAGTGGATCTGTCAGCTTTATCATGGCTGTTAAAGTGATCAGTAAAGAGACAATAAAATCTAAGGAGGTAGCCAGATGTAGAGGAAAGATGATTTAGAGAGGCAGAGGCATTTTGGAAACATCATCAAATGCAAGACTTGATGACTGATAGGATGAAGAAATGGGAGAGAAGGATGATCTGGGGTACAGCCTTGGGTGGATGATAGAAGTATCACCAAACCAGGTAGTTTTTCGGGGCAAAATCGATAGAAGCTTGTATTTAAATATGCATTCAAATATTTGGTGATGATCCTTAAAATACTTCCGCCAAACAAAGAGAAATTATTATCTAAGTGGCCTTTTACATCATCTTTATTTATTGAAAATGACAGAATCATTTACATTATGCTGTCTTTTGCCAAGATACTATCTGAAAAATAGACTAGAGTGAGCTAGGATGAATGCAATGCCTCTAGTTTCTGTTTCTCCAATTTAACACGAAGAAACTAGAAACTAAACGAGAGAAATTTAGAAAAGCAAGTAAAATTTCTTTTAATTAGTTTGGTTTGGGAAATGTACCAGTGTCCTAGATCTGCCATAGCAGAGCACCATAAATTGGTTGGCTTAAACAGCAGAATTTTATTGTCTCACTGTCTTGAAGCCAGAAATCCGAAATCAAGGTGCTGGCAGAGCCAAGCTCCCTCTGGAACCTGAGGGGAATCCTTTCTTGCCTCATCCTAACTCCTTTTTGTTTTCCTGGTAATCTTTGGTTTCCTTTGGTTTGCTGATGCATCACACTGATCCTCCATCTTCACATCGTGTTCTCCTCTATGTCCTTCTCTGTGTCCAAATTTCCCCTTTAAGGATTCATTTCCTCCAGTCATATTAGATTAGGGCTCATCCTCAGAACCTGATTTCCACTTGATTAATCTGTAAAGACCGTATTTCCAAATAAGGTTGGATTCTAAGATATCTTTCTTGTGGGGCACAATTTACCCATAACAGGATATATGAAGGAATTTTTTATATGTGATAAAAAAAATCAAGCAGTGGAGAGAAAAGCAAGATTTTGATGTTAGAACTAGGATACAACTCATAAACTAGAGGATTTTTGTCATAGTAGTTTTCAGAAAGACTGGTTCCTCCCTTTAAATAACTTAAGGAGAAAATGTAGGAAAGAACAAGTTTTCCTACAGCCAAGAATTAATGTGAAGGTACTGAAATCTATTGCATAATGTATTATATTATATTAGTACTAGAGGCCCGGTGCATGAAATTCGTGCACGGGGTGGTGGGGTCCCTCAGCCCGGCCTGCACCTTCTCCAATCTGGGACCCCTTGGGGGATGTCCAACTGCCTCTTGCAATCCAGGACCCCTGGCTCCTAACCGCCTGCCTGCCTGCCTGCCTGCCTGATCACCCCTAACCGCCTGCCTGCCTGCCTGCCTGATCACCCCTAACCCCTCTGCCTGCCTGCCTGATCTTCCCTAACTGCCTGCCTGATCGCCCCTAACTGTTCTCCTGCTGGCCTGATCACACTAACCACTCTGCCTTGGCCCCGCACCCAGGACCCAGGCTTCCTTTCTCTGGCCAGCTGCAGTCACCTGGGCTTCCCTCCCTCAGGACCAGGGGTGGGCAGCTTTGCCCAGGCCGCAGCCTCAGGAACTGGTGCCCAGGACCACGGGCGGGTGGCCGGCTTCAGCTTCTTTTCTCCCGGGCTGCAGCCGCAGGCACTGGCACCCAGGACTGCGGGCGAGTGGCTTTGCCCGGCCTGGCTTTGTCAGGAAGGATGTCTGGAAGACGTCCAGTCTAATTAGCATATTACACTTTTATTAGTATAGATGTATATTGCATGTATAAAATATGTATAACATTAAATATTTGTTTTAAAATATTTATTTTTTATAAGTTTAAAAGTTATTTGAGGTTGGTCTTCAAATAAAGTAGGTGCTTTACAGACTAGATCACCAACTATATGTTATAGTAGAAATTGAAAATGACTGAATTTTTAGGGACTTACAATTTCTTTGACTGTAATCAAGTTAATAACCACTCTAAGCTTTGCTTTACTTACTTGCAAAATAAAAATTAAAAGGTGTAGATGGTAGTCAATCAAATTTCCTATTTACTTATGTAACATGTATTTAGCAGATTTTGAATTGCAGTTAAATTTATTTAAGATCCATGGTTACTGATTTAAATGTTTGGCTGAATTACAGACAACATTTTGTAAGGTAATGATGCAAGTAAGATTGGCCAAGCCTTGGTATTTCACTGGTGAGTTATTGAATGTAGACTACATTCATTTTCCTTCTTACCATTAGTAAATTGCATCGATTCACCTTTGATTAATATGCCTGCTATATTTGGAGAGGCAGCTTTACAAACAATAGCAGGCAGATTTACCAAATCTGAGGCTAATGTCTAGCTCTTGAAACAAGTAACTGAGCAGAACTAATGATGTCATGTCTCATACTGACAAGTGAAATAACCTCCATTTAACTTCTGGTGCCCCCAGACCCATTAAGTTAAATTTTCATCCTTATTCATTATTGAAATTAAATGCAAGAGAGTACCCACCACAATAGAGATCTTATAGAGCAGTGACAATAATAACAAAAACAGTACCCTGAAATTAAGAATACCATTTTCCACTCTGATATATCTCAGTAAATTTTATCTTATTGGAAAATCAGTTGTGAATAGTATCACATCTGGATTCTTGTGATATTATAATATTATATGTTTAAGTTATTTTATCTACTATCTATATATGTAAAAGCCTAAGTGACCAAATGACTGTTTGACAGGTCACTATGATGCTCACTGACCACCAGGGCAGTAGACACTCAATGCAGAAGCTACCCCCTGGTGGTCAGTGTGATCCCACAGTGGGAGCGCCACTAAGCCGACTAACGGGCACCAGACGCTGGGCTCACAGCTGGCAAGCACAGCCTTGGTGGCATGAGCCTCTCCCCACTCCATGGCAGTGCGCTACCGTGCGGCGACGACAGCAGGCCCAGCAGGACCGGGAGGAGCGGGAGCAGCGCGGTGCCCACCTGCCGCGCTCCCTGGCCCCTGCTGCTTTGTGCACTACTACATTCCTTGGGGGATGTTGGACTGCTGGTTTCGGCCCAATCTCCGCAGGCCCTGAAACCGGCAGTCTGCATCCCCCAGGAGTCCCAGATTATGAGAGGGCGCAGGCCAGGTTGAGGGACCCTACTGGTGCACGAATCCATATATATATGAATATATATATATATATTCATCCATGAATTCGTACACATTGAAAGGAAATTAATTAGAAGAAATATTTTAGAGGCCAGGGAAGGACTGCAGGAGATTGGCTCCAGGGTGTGTCCAGCTTGTCTCACCCAGTTCCGACTGGGGCCGATCAGGGTCTTCTTGCCCAGTCCTGATTGGGGCCAATTGGGGCTGGCTAGCCGGGAAGGGACTGTGGTAGGTTGGCCAGCCAGGGAGGGACCACAGGAGGGCTCCAGAGCATGTCCAGCCATCTCACCCAGTCCCGATTGGTCGGAACCCAGCAGCAAGCTAACCTACTAGTAAAAGCATCTGCTCCCTGGTGGTCAGTGCAGATCATAGAGACTGGTCGAATGGTTGACTGAACAGTCGGACACCTAGCATATTAGCCTTTTATGTATATAGATCATATTATAGTACATAGGAAAGAGAAAGAAAGAGAGAGAGAGAGAGAGAGAGAGAGAGAGAGAGAGAGAGAGAGAAGGGAGGGAGGAAGGAAGGAAGGAAGGAAGGAAGGAAGGAAGGAAGGAAGGAAGGAAGGAAGGAAGGAAGGGAGGGAGGGAGGGAGAGAGGGAGGGAGGGAGGAAGGAAGGAAGGAAGGAAGGAAGGAAGGAAGGAAGGGAGGGAGAAAAAGAAGGATGGAAGAAAAGGAAGGGTGGAAGAAAGAAAGAGGAAAGGGAAAAATAGTAAAAGAACTTACTATATGATATCATAAAGCTGTAGTTGGAGTTAGGTACAATGTCACCCGCATTTCTGTGTAACTATGGATGAATCAGTTGACCTCTTTGCCTCTTAAACTTCCAATCACTGAAGCTGGAACAAATAAGAGGAGCTGTCAGAGCTCCCTGATTTCTGCATTTCAAGAGTTTGGGTGTATCACCTCATCAATGAAGCATAATTACCTTTAGACATGTTTCATGATGATGCCAAATTTCTTGGACTACTTTGAAAGAGATTATCCTCAAAAATCCCTGTGGTCTTGTGAATCATGTCAAAGTCATTTGTGGGCCATTTTGAAGTCAGGGATTATGCTTAAATTGTTCCTTGAAATGAGATCAGCATATCTACATTTTTTATTAGCACTATTTTTATAGTTGTAGGAATTTTAAAGAGATCTTCTGGGGAAAATAGACTTATTATCTCATTTCTATTATTAAATGGCGTTTAAAAGGCTATGAAGCAGCCCTATTATTAAATTTCAAGTCAACCTAGTGTCTTTAGCTTGATGAGACGCAACTTGAATTTCACTTTTCTATTATAATGTGTACTATACCATTTTCACAAAGCCAGGGACCATTTTTGAGGTATAAAAATATTAGTAGATGAAATACACATTATATTTTATAAGAAAGGAAAAAGGACCTTTAACTTTTTTGCTTAAATTTTCTGTAAAATAAAATGCCCACCTACATTTTTATAGTTGTCTCTTAGTACAAAAAATCAGAAAGTTTTTATTATGCACAGTTAAGGGCTATTTATGTCACAAAATTACTTAATTTAAAGAGCAGGATAAAATGGGTAAATTTTTTAAATGAGACAAATATTTCTGATCAGATTGTTATCTTAGAATTTTATTTTTATTGCCTTTTTTTATATCTGTTCTCCCTTAAAGGAAATCAATCAATTGAAGTTAATACTAACTACATTCAAAGGAGTGCATCTGCTCTGGCCAAGAATGAACATGGTACTTTAAGTGTATATCATTCTTCATTAACTAAACTGAGATGAGACCAGGAAGTAAATCCCATGGTGTACTTAGATCTGTCTGCTAATTTTGTAGTAATGAATGGCAAGTAAAATTCAAGGATGAAGGAGCCAAAATAGATAACTGTTTCAATACAGTGATAACTGATAGTTATCAAATAACAATTGCAAAATATTAAGACTTCCTGGAGCCTTGTATTGACTTATAGAAGTACCTTACATAGTTTGGAGATTGACCCCTCATCAGATAAATGGTTTGCAAATATTTTCTCTTGTTCTCCTGTTCTCTATGTTGCTTTTTTACATTATTGTTTCCTTAGAAATTTTTTTAACCCTCACCCAAGGATATATTTTTGTTTTTATGAGAAAGAGGGAGAGAAAGAGAGAGAGAGAGGGAGAGAGGGAGAGAGAGAGAGAGAGAGAGAGAGAGAGAGAGAGAGAGAGAGAGAGAAATATCGATGTGAGAGAGAAACATTGATCTGTTGCTTCCCATACATGCCCCTGCTGATGATCAAACCCGTAACCTAGATATGTGCCCTGACTCAGATCTGAACACTCAACCTTTTGGTGTACTCGATGACACTCCAACCAACTGAGCAGCCTAGTCAGGGCCAGCAGAAGCTTTTCAGTTTGATGTAGTCCCACTTGTTTAGTTTTGTTTTTGTTACTTGTGCTTTTAGTGTAATATCTATGAAACAATTTTACAGACCAATATTATGAAATGTCCCTAAGTTTTTTTCTAGTAATGTTATAATTTTAGTTCTTATGTTTAAGTCTTTAATCCTTTTGAGTGATTTGTGTGCATGAAGGGTCTAATTTCAATCTTTTCCATGTAGGTAATCTTAAGCTCTCCTTGTTCTTTTAGTATTGAATGTGTTTCAGGGAGGGATATATGGTTATCTTCTTCCCCTGGAGATATGTATGTTCCAGATTTCAATTTTTTTTTCTGGATAGTGTATTCAAACCACTTATTCTTCGATTAAGAATAGTAATTCCCTGTGTAATCTAAAGACAAATTAGATAAACAATTCATCCTCAAAATATTTGTTTGTTTATTGACAATTATTCAGCATCTACAACATGCACACATTTGAATGTTCTCCTAATCTTTGAAATATATGAGAAGAATTGAAGCCTGTGTTTTGGGCAGAGTGACTGAATGGCCACCAACACAGGAGAAGCAATCTGCACTGTGGATGCAAGGAGGCTAAGATTGAAGAGGCAGTAATAATCCTGACATGAACTGAGGAAGGTTAGAATTAAAATAAAGAGAGTTCACAGTGATAAAAGAGAATAAAATTTGGGGAGCAGAGTTGTTGAAACTGATCAGATAAAATGATGAGGGAAAGAAAGCAACTGATCTTGAGAGCTTGAGAATTTTAGTTTGGAATGTTTAAAGGAATGTGTTGTCTATACTTGTTATAGGAAACCAGGGAGAAAGGGCAGGTTGAAAGAGTTAGAACAAGTTAAGATTAATAGCTGGCTGACATTCAGAGATGTTCCTAAGGCCGGTAGGAATAGGATTATTTAGTGGGGTGAGCTCATGACCATTTAAGAAAGCTGTGACCCCTTTCCAGGAAGTAAAACAGATGCACTTACAAAAATGTATATATGGTCACGGATACCTGGAACCTTTTTCTTAGGCCTGGTTTAAAGTCCCCTAGGAAATTTTTTTTAATTACACAGAAGTCTAATATTCTGTTATTTTAAGATAAGCTGACTTCTACTTTATTGGCGACTTTTTAAAAGGGCAACAGATTATCACTCCAGCAATCTATTAAATGATTGTTCAATATTTGCTTTATTGATGGGTTAGTTTGTATTCAGTTCTTTCGTGACCTTGAGTTTTGAAGACATTTATTATTAAGAAAGATATTACTGGTGCATTTAGATTGAACCACTTTGGAAAAGTTATGGTGTTTACCTGAAGCTAATAAAATAATGTATGTTTTCCCTGTAAATGAGATCTGAAAAACAGTCAATGTGTCAATACCAAAATCAACATGAAAAGGATCTACTATGAAATTAGGTTTCTCAGATAAAATGTAGTTTAACAAGAGGGCATTCACTCTGTCTTCTCTCTGATGGGGATACTTTTCATTATAATATATGGCATGTTTTAAGGCCATAAACTTAATATGTATGAAACCTGATGGCTTTCAAGATCAAGGGATTGAGTTTCAATTTAAATGTATGGTTATTTTGCAAAAAAACAAAAAACAAAAAAAAACCCACAAAATATCTTGCTGGAAAATAGATCAGGAGACATTTTGTGTATTCTTCTTTCACCTGAGGAAATTGCAAAAGCTTGCATTAAAATTGTATAAGATTTTGTATACACAGGCAGAAACTACTCTATATAGATTTTTAAAAAATGCACTGGTACTGTTCTGGCTTTGAACCAAAATGCTTCTTTTCTCTGTAAATTTCGGTGGAAAGATTCATTATTGTTGAATTTCAATATGATTGCTAATTAAATGATGCAAAACTCAATAAAATAAAATACACAAAAGACCAATTAGCATGTTATCTCAGTAAGTATACAGACGAATGAGAGAACATACTGTTCTACACAGTAGCGTGTAATTAAGATGTAGTCATAAATCAAGGATATATTATAACTTGTATAGGTGCACAGGTGGCTTTTAGAAAGATAAATTAGCTCCTCTTGCCCCCTTGAGATGCAAGTTCATAGTGATTCCTGCAAAATTAAACAGAATAATGTCTCAGACTTCCGACATTGTGTATGCTTCAGTACAAACAGCATGCTGGAGAGAAATGTTTGCAAAGTGTTCATCTCCTTGTCCATTCCCGTTCCAGATGCTCTCTATGATGTTATCACCGTGGGAGCCCCAGCTGCCCATTTTCAGGGATTTAAGAATGGTGGTCTTCGGAAACTACTCCACAGATTTGAAATGGAAAGAAGAAAGTAAGTGATGACAAGATGCATTAATGGTTATCTCCCCTTTGGAGAAGTTTATATATACATTTATAATAAAGGAACTTGGTCCATCACAATGAATAGTTCTTGTATCGCAACGTATTTAATAACTTAAAGATGTTGAACTTCTAAAAAAATACTCGAACAGAAATGAAATTAGAATAAATTAAGTGCCTGAGTGTGTTGCTTATTGAGTAGTGCTGTGCTGGCAGAAAATTTTTGTGGAAACAAAGCTACTAAAACAAGAGAGTATTCTAGTATCAACTATTGCTCATTCAGTGGAAATATGTTCAGGTAGAGATTTAGCTAAAAGCATCGTCTTATGTAATTGAAAAGCCAGACATTTAAAGGAGATCAGGAGGCCTAATTTATGACTCTCACCCTATTGGTGATTTCCACTGTGGTCCAAGGCAAGGCATATGAACTGCCCTGCCATTTAATTATGCCATTTGAAAAAGAGACATGGTACAGAACTCTTATCAGTTACTTGATGAGATTGAAAGAGAAAACATTCATTTCTTAGAGAAAAAGCATGACACAAAACCTAAAGTATTATTTCTATTACTTATAACTAAAGGCCCCACACATGGATTCATGCACTGGTGGGGTCCCTCGGCCTGGCCTGTGGGGACCGGGCCGAAACCAGCTCTCTGACATCCTCCGAGGGGTCCCAGAGTTTCTTATAATATCCTGTGATTATGATTGCACTTAAGTAAACCATAAAAAGTTTTGTCCAGATGTGAATGGAAACTTTTCTTTTTAAGTAGTTACTCTTCTTAGATTAAGAACCCGAATTTTGAAAGTTACGGGGAAATAGTATTCTGTTGTCATAGTTGGTTTAGTAGTAATATTAGAAAATCTACCTGAGTGGCAAAATCACCCTCTTTAAATTTTAAAGTTTTGTCACATTTATAATATACATAACACATGTATTATTAGGTGTCCAATGTTCAGGCAAACGCATTAAAAATAACTTCGAATTGTATAACTGATATACTATTATATAAATATAAAAGCTAATGAGGCACATATATTTTTCTTTCTTGTTTTAATGAAATTGACTTTGATTCAATACTAGTACAATTAACTCAGCTATAGCCCTTACTGAGATTTCACCAGGTTTTTTTGTTTTTGGTGAGGAGAGTATATAGTTCTATGAAACTGTATCACAGGTGTAGATTAGAGTAATCATCACAAAGAACTGTTCCATGACCACAAAGAAACTCCTTCTGGTATCCCTTCTGCTGCAAAAAAATAGTTCTGTTGCCTTATGATTGTAACAGAGGGGAAGTCAGAGTTGCAACCAGGGGCTCTGAGGGGAGAGGCACCTCCCGTTTAATTCATGGGGGTTGGAAGTTGGTTCATTCACAGAATCCATGGGGAAAGGGATGCTGTCTCTTTGCTAAAAAGGGAATGGGAGTAGAATATAGGTTTCTGCCCGTGGTTTCTCACTGACCCTCTCCCTCTGCTGTACCATCTTCAAATAGGGAGAGACACTGCTATTTTTATTATGTGCTCTTCATCCCTCGAATAGGCAAGTGTATTTAAAAGTTTTATTTTTGTTGGGCTACCCTTTTACTAGTCCTTTGGTTTTTCTTGGCTTCTATTTTTTAGTTGGCATTGTGCTGCATTGAGGGCTTGTCTAACACCCCAGTTGGGATATATAGTAGGCAAGAAAAAAAACCATAGAATTCACTGTCATTGTCATATCATTCCCTAGATCCTGGGGCTCCCAGCCAATCTTCCTTCTTTGCTCTTAGAGTCTTCTGATAAATGACTTACGTGTTGTGACTCGAGTATGTTTTGTGATTAGCAGGAGAAGGAAAATAGATTGTGTGTACTCCATCTTGTCTGGAACTGGGCAGCTCTATCTTGAGAATTCACTTAATTTATTTGTTTTTCTCAATCCAATTTTAAAGTGCCTGACACAATTAAAAAACGGAAAACTGTCCCCAGGGCACAAAGACTCTAGCTCAGGGGTTCTCAACCTGTGGGTCGCGACCCCTTTGGCGGTTGAACGACCCTTTCACAGGGGTCGCCTAAGATCATCCTGCATATCAGATATTTACATTACGATTCATAACAGTAGTAACATTACAGTTATGAAGTAGCAACGAAAATAATTTTATGGTTGGATCACAACATGAGGAACTGTATTTAAAGGGCCAGAAGGCTGAGAACCACTGCTCTAGCTGAATGAGTAGAGCATCAGTATGTGAAGCATGGAACCTCACCATAGAGTTTCATGTAATACCGCTGTGTGCTACTGGCAAAGGCAAATGTTGAGTTGTGTGGTTAGATTCTGAATAATATATCTTGTTTTAAATATCCTCATGGATATCTGAATTCTTCAGTATTCTTCACTTTTCACCAGGATATTTATATACATACAAACTCACATGCAGCTGTAGGATTAAACTTAAGATAAAAGTTATAAGTATACCCAATACTTTAAACATTGACTTGCTTTAGGGCTTTTAAATATGTGTTATATGTTCTATTGCTTTATTGATAACTTTATTGATAAATACAGTGAAATTTTTTAAAAAGTAAAAAAATAACATGGTGTAGATCTTAAAAGTACTCTCATTTGGGCAGTAGAAAGGGACAAATGTGGCTTGCTAAGGCAATATATAAATGAGTCCAGTATCAGCCTGACCATCATGGTAAGAGCTGGCCTGAGCAAAGATGTTATGCCTAAAGTGATATCACACTATGAAAATTATTTTTCTGAGGGTTTTCTCACCCACAATATTGGCATCTGTTCATCACAAGGAATAATGGAGATATCAACGTGACTATGAAATCAGTAACTTGGACCTATACATGTAGAAATGAAGAAAATCACGTTAAGTGAAGGACATTTTCTTTACCTCATTTTCCTTTTGCTACCTCCCCCCAAAAATAGCCAAGTCTTTTAGGCCAGTTTTTTAGGGGGAATACCACAGCCATTGTATATCTTCACCTTTATCTATTTTCTTCTCTGCTAAGCCAATGAAATATTGTCTCCTCAGTACAGTAATTTCTGGTCCTTAGTGATCTATTGTTTGATGAATTCATTGACCACATAATGAAAAGGATTTTAGCATCAGGAAGCCTTACTTACTTGTAGTAATCATATAATGTAATTCAGATTATATAAAAATGTATTTTAAAAGCTTTAAGATAATTAATTAGGCAGATTGATCTTTTTTTAAAGCACAAATATAAAATTACATACTCCTCAGCTCAGAACCCTTCATGGAATCCAGTTGCATCCACTGGGCATTCAAAAAGCCTCTGTGAACTCACCCCACTGGCTTCCTACCTTCATCACCCTCTTCTCCCTATAATTGCTTCTTAAATGCTATGAAACAATTTCTTTAATGGAATTCACACTTGCCCACTTCTTCCCTTTTCCTCATTCTGTTCTCTTTCACTAGAAATTCTTCTGTTCTCATCTCCACACTGTTTACATTACTTTCTGTCAAAATCATGCACTACACATGGTCGATCCTAAGATTTTTACCTTCTTTATTACGTCCTCCTGATTTCTCAAGTTGATTTGACTCTCTGTCCTAATATTTTATTTCTGTTATAACCTTACTCGGTCACAGTTATGGTATATCAGGTTTGCCCTTGTTTGATATTTCCCATAACACTTTGGGACTTTGGGATATGTTTAGGTAAGAGATGATGTTCTCTTGAACTATGGGTCTTCTGGAGTGCTACACAGAGTACTTAGCGTAGATCAAATGCAATGGGCATTGGAATTCACCTTATAAATGAGATATAGTCTCTGATTTAAGTGCTGAAAACTCCAGCCCTGGCCAGTTTGCTCAGTAGTTAGAGCATGGGCCCTCCGACCAAAGGATCTCAGGTTCTATTCCCAGTCAAGGGCAAGTACTTCAGTTGCAGGTTCAATCCTTTGCCCCAATTAGGCCATGAGTGGGAGGCAACCAGTCGATATGTCTCTCACATCAATGTTTCTCTCTCCTTTCTCTCTCCCCCTTGCCTCCCTTCCACTCTCTCTAAAAAAATCAATGGAAAAAATCCTCCCTCCCCCAGTGAGGATTAAAGAAATAAAGTGCTGAAAACTCCCGTGAGTAATAAAATTTCACAAATATTCATGATACAATATGATAAATAGAGACAGCAGGGATTCTCAACCTTGGCTGCACATTAGAATCACCTTTGGAGATTTAAAAACATTTTATGTATGCCAGGATATTGCCCGAGACAAATGAAGTGCAAGTCCTGGGAATGGAGCCCAGGCATTGGTATGTTTTAAAAGCTTCCCAGGTGGGTCTAATGTATAGCCATGGTTGAGAACCACTGTTATAGATGTAAGTGAATAGTTCTGGGAGAGGACATATGAAGGACATGGAGAATAGAAAGAGGAATAGTGACACAGATGAGTTGAACTTGAAAAATGTATGAATACTCAATTGGTATGTATCAGGAACAAAGAAAATCTACACAAGGGAATATTTGCTGAAATGAAGAAAAGTATTACAATTTGCTTACTAGAAGTTTTTGTTTAAAAAATCCCAAACTCATTAAAAAGTTGCAAAACAGAATGAAAGATGGGAGTAAAGCTATAAGAATTTTGATCTTGGAAAATTTGGACCTGAGTAGCATCCAAACAAATAAAAAATCCAGTACATGTTAGAGATTTTCATGCTATAAACATGAGATTTTTCTAGGAGAGTGAAAATGCTAATTCTCAGTATATTTTATTTAAAGACCAGATCTTTGTAACCTATGTCTTCAACGATCACATCAAATATCTATATGTTCCTGGAAGCAGCGGTTTACCTATGACACTATTTGAAAGCTTGTGGAGTTTTTCTTCAAAATATGAATGAATTCTTTACCTCCAGTATTATTTTAGAGAAAGGTAAAAATTACCACAACACTTGTTTTGCCTGTTTTGATAATTTCTAATTTCAGCAAGAACTTCAATTCAGCCAGAATTTTCACAGCGCAGGTTCATGACCCAAAAGCAT